TTGAGGTACTTTCCTTCTATTCCTAGTTTTCTTAGAGCTTTTATCATGAAATGGTGTTGGATCTTATCAAAGGCTTTTTCTGCATCTATTGAGATGATCAAGTGGTTTTTGTCTTTGCTTCTGTTAATGTGGTTTATTACATTTATTGATTTTCATATGTTGAACCATCCCTGCATCCCTGGGATGAAGCCTACTTGGTTGTGGTGAATAATCTTTTTGATGTGTTTTTGAATTTGGTTTGCCATTATTTTGTTGAGGATTTTTGCATCAATGTTCATTAAGGAGATTGGCCTATAGTTCTCCTTTTTGGAGGTGTCTTTGCCTGGTTTTGGGATAAGTGTAATACTGGCTTCATAAAATGTGTTTGGCAGTTTTCCTTCCCTTTCTATTTCATGGAACAGTTTAAGGAGGGTTGGTATCAGTTCTTCTTTAAAGGTCTGATAGAATTCAGCAGAGAATCCATCAGGTCCTGGACTTTTCTTTTTGGGGAGACTCTTGATTGCTGCTTCAATTTCATTTTGTGTTATAGATCTATTCAGGTGATTAATTTCCTCTTGGTTCAGTTTTGGATGATCATATGTATCTAGAAATCTGTCCATTTCTTTAAGATTTTCAAATTTATTTGAATATAGGTTCTCAAAGTAGTCTCTGATGATTTCCTGGACTTCCATGGTGTTTGTTGTTATCTCCCCTTTTGCATTCCTGATTCTACTAATTGGGTTTTTTCTCTCCTCATTTTAGTCAGGTTTGCCAGGGGTCTATGATCTTGTTTATTTTTTCAAAGAACCAACTTTTTGTTTTTAATTCTTTGTATGATTTTTTTGGTTTCTATTTCATTGATTTCAGCTCTTATTTTTATTATTTCTCTCCTATTTGTTTTGGGATTTGCTTGTTCTTTTTTTTCTAGGAGTTTGAGATGTATCATTAGGTCATTGATTTGGGATCTTTCAGTCTTTTTAATATATGCACTCATGGCTATAAACTTTCCTCTCAGGACTGCCTTTGCTGTGTCCCATAGGTTCGGTAGTTGTGTTTTCATTTTCATTGACTTCCAGGAACTTTTTAATTTTCTTTTATTTCATCAATGATCATTGTTCATTAAGTAATGAGTTATTTAGTTTCCAGCTGTTTGCATGTTTTTTGTCTTTACTTTTGTTTGAGTTCTACTTTTACTGCATTGTGATCAGATAGTATGCATGGTATATTTCTATTTTCTTATATTTGCTGAGGCTTGCTTTGTGCCTAGGATATGATCTATTTTGGAGAAGGTTCCATGGGCTGCTGAGAAGAATGTATATTGTGTAGAAGTTGGATGAAATGTTCTGTAGACATCAAGTAGGTCCATTTGATCTATTTATTATTTTAGATCTTGGATTTCTTTATTGATTTTTTGTTTGGATGACCTATCTATTGATGATAATGGGGTGTTAAAGTCTCCCACAACCACTGTGTTGGTTATATATGCTTTTAGGTCTTTCAGGGTATGTTTGATGAAATTGGGTGCATTGACATGGGGTGCATACAGGTTGATGATTATTATTTCCATTTGGTCTATTTCCCCTTTTATTAGTACGGAATGTCCTTCTTTATCTCATTTGATCAATGTAGGTTTGAAGTCTACTTTGTCAGAGATAAGTATTGCTACTCCTGCCTGTTTTGGGGGCCATTGGCTTGGTAAATCTTCTTCCAGCCTTTCATCCTAAGCCTATGCTTATTTCTGTGGTGAGATGGGTCTCCTGTAAGCAACAAATTTTTGGATCTTCCTTTAATCCATTTCATGAAGCGATGCCTTTTGATGGGTGAATTAACTCCATTAACATTAAGTGTTAGTACTGATAGGTATGTGGTGATTCCTGTCATTTAGTTGTCTTCGTTGTTTGAAGGTTTGATTGTGTGTACCTAAGTTGAGGTTACTCTCTACTTTCTTGCTTTTTCTTTCCTGTGGTTTGGTGCTGCCTGTCTTTTCATGGTTAAGTTGAGTTTCACTTTTTGTGTGCAGAATCCCTAGAAGAATCTTTTGTAGTGTGGCTTTGTGGTCACATATTGTTTTAGTTTCTGCTTATCATGGAAGACTTTTATTGCTCCATCTATTTTGAATGATAGTTTTGCGGGTAGAGTATCCTGGGGTTGAAGTTATTTTCATTCAGTGCCCGAAGATCTCACCCCAGCTCTTCTTGCTTTTAATGTTTCTGTTGAGAAGTCTGCTGTGATTTTGATGGGTTTACCTTTGTATGTTACTTGTTTTTTCTTCTTACAGCCTTCAATATTCTTTCCTGTTTCTGAACTTGTTTTTTTAATGATGATATGTCGTGGAGTAGTTCTATTTTGATCTGGTCTGTTTGGTGTCCTGGAGGCCTCTTGCATCTGTATGTGAATATCTTTCTTTGATTTGGGAAATTTTCTGTTATTATTTTGGCATTCCCTTTTATTTCTTCTTGTGCTCTTTCAAAGTCTTTATTTTTGTTGTCTTGGAATTTCTTGAGTGTCTCTTGTACATTTTGGTTGACCCTATCCAGTATCATCTCCATAAAATTCTCACTAAGTACCTGTAGTATGTCTTCTTTTAAATTATTCTTGTGGGCTTCATTGGGTTCTTTGGCATAGTTTATGTTCAATTTGTTGGAGTCTGGATCTGAGTATCTGTTTTCTTCATTTCCCTCTGGTTCCTGTACTAATATTTTGCTGTGGGGAGAGTGGTTTCCCTGTTTTTTCTGTCTTTCCGTCATTGCCTTTGGTGTTGTTATTACCCCTGTATTGTGTGCAATTAAGTATTTTCTGTCTTATAATAATAGCACTAGTGATATTTAGAATGGAAGGGTGAGAGGGGATGGAAAGCAAAGAAGTTAAAGGAAAAGGGAAAAACAAATAATCAAGTAGAAAGAAAAAACAAAACAAAGAATCAAACAAAAAATGTTTCAAAGCTATAAACAGGGAGAGACAGTGTACTAATCAACCGTAAACTGAAAAGGTTTTAGGGAGACAGAGAGGATTGAAAATAAAAAAATAAAAAGAAAAAAGATAAGAATAAAAATAAAAAATAAGTAAATGAAAGAAAAAACATATATATACATAAAATAAAATAAAATAAAACAAAATGAAAAATAAAAATAAAAAAAAAAACTCCAAGTTCAAATGCAATGAAGTTTCAGTCTTAATAATTTTGCTGTCCATCTCAGCCTCCAGTCCTGGAGATGGTGCCTCAGATGTTGTTCTGTAGTTGTCTTATCAAAGGGGATGAATAAAGTAGAACAAATCTGCACACACACACACACACACACACACACACAAGCCACAAAGTGTTCCAAGTTCAAATGCAATACAGTTTCAGTAAGTTTTTCAGCATGCAGGTGTAGTTTGGTTGTTTTCTCATCAAAGGTAGGGAGAGAGAAAAAAAGAGTCTGGAGACAGTTCTGTGATTGTCTACCTGGGGCTGTGGCTTGCCTGCCCACTGCTGTCAGCCTACTGTTGCTGGCGGTGTTATTTATGCAGATCTCAGGAGTGAGCTTAGCATTCACCTGGCCCTGCAGGCTTTGTTTACTCAGAGTCCTGTGTGTGAGTACTGTGCACAAGCCACTGTTACAAGCTTTCCCCTTTCCAAGCATACTGGGGGAGGTGACACTGAACCCACTTTCTCTGGCCTGCATGTTTGTTTACAGCTCACGTGGGAAGTGGGTCTTCCCCTCCCTCCCCCCTTGGAGTTTTCCTTCCACCGCCGCTTTTGCAAGGTTTCCCTCTCCTGCTTGCTGAATGTGTGCTGCTGCTCCTGCCAGCTGGTGTGTTTGTTTACAGCTCACATGGGAGGTGGGTCTTCCCACCTCTCCTGTGGAGTTTTCCTCCCTCCACCACTCCCAAAAGCTTTCACGCTCCTGGTTGCTGGGTGCACACCCCTTCTCCCACCAGAGCCTCTCCAACCAGGCCCGGCTTGTTTATTTACAATTCCGGGAAGGATTCCCCTCCCCCCGTCTTTGGCACTCAGTGTGCCCCATTCTCTTTGCAACATGTCTTTATTGTTCTTATTGCTTATTACTCAGGTTCTCTATTTTCCCCGGTGTGGGTCGATCTGTCCAGGGCTATGCTGTTCTGGCCAGGTTGTCTGTGGAGTACCATGTACCGCTTAGCTCACCTTGTCTGCGTCTTCCCAAGCCATCTGGGCGCAGGCGTCTGGTGGCCCAGAGGCCCTCCTGGTTTCTCCATTTAACGTGAAGTAATAACCTTGAAATTGACATTGGGTTTCACCTTACTTAAAATCTAATAAGTTAGCTGGTTTCCACTGGCTTGTGTCAGAAGACATGGAAGTCTTGGATCAGAGACAAAGGACACTATTACAGCTCAGCAGGCACCAGGTTAGGACCACTGAGCTTGGAAGACTGGCCATCTTAAAAGAGGTCTCCTTTTGTCCCAGGGAAGAACTTGACCTCATCCCTTAGGTCTGAGGCTGAACTAAAATTCTAAGAATTTTATTTATTTTTATCTTTATTTTTAAACATTTTTTATTATCATATTATTGTTGTGCTGGGGGTACATTGTGACATTTACAAAGTGCTTGTGATATATTTCAGTTAAATTTATACCTTTTAGCCCTGTTCCCTCCATTCTTAGATTAGTTTCAACAGGTCTCATTTTTCCATTTTCATACATGTGTACATAATATTTCTACTGTATACATTCTCCTACACACTTTCTTTATATCCTCTCCCCTCCCACTGGCACTGACCCCCAGATGGGATCTGTTTTATCTTCTTGGTCTCAGCTTTTTAAAAGACATTTTTGTTTCTTTAAGATATCTATACAGAGTTTTATTATGACATTTCCATGTATATATGTATTGTATCCCAAATTGTTTCATCCCCTCCATTTTCTCCTTTCTACCTTAGTCCTCTTCTTATGGTGTAAAATCTTAATAATGACCCATTGAAATGGAGCCTTTCTCCTCCAACATTAATTTCCATGGTCCTTGAATGATAAGAGCACATCTAGGTTGTGCGTATGTGTGCTTGTGGATGCAGTGTGGACTGAGTCCTAACCTCCATCACTGCTTGCTTTTGCAGTTGGAGGTGCAGTGTCCTCCTGGTGTCACCCTTGGCTTTGTTGCAGAGCACTGGAACCTGTGCAGGGCAGTCTACAGCATCCAAAACGAAAAGAGAGAGAATGTGATGAGAGTGCGTGGACCATGTGCAACATACGGCTGTGGCTCAGACTCTGTTTTTGAGGTAAACATACGAGAAAATATCTTCTACTACTTTTTCCTAACAGACATAGAGCAATATGGTTATAGACAAATTTACAGATGAATAAATAAAGTAGTGTGAAGAAAGTGTTAAGTAGCCAGTTGACATTGAGTAACCTTCAAATTAATATTAGCTATTGACTGACATTTTCTAAAATGTGACCTTTTTAAAAAAAATCTGTGCTTAATAGAGATGAGACAATTTAAAATATTAAAATTTTGAGTCTGTCACCATTGTATGGCTCCTGTCTGTATTCTTAGCTACTTGTGAGGCTGAGATTGGGAGAATCACAGTTCAAGGCCAACCCTGCCAAATGGTTCCCAAGACCCTGTCTCCAAAATAACCAGAGAAAAATAGACTGGAGGTGTGGCTCAAGAGGTAGAGCACCTGCTCTGCAAGGATGAAATTCTGAGAGCAAATCTGAGCCCCATCAAACAAACTATATATATATATATATATACATATAGTATACATACACACACATTAAAATTTTGAGACTAAATACCCTGACTTGATCAATTAAGTGTATTCTTGAATTTATCTAATTAATGACTTTTCTGAAGATTTCCAGGATTGAAATATAGATTCTTAATATGTGTGAAATATGTCACAGAACATATAGAACACTCCTAAGGTTGTACAAACAGCTTAGGAAACAATTAACATAAACAGGGTAACATTAATAATATGGACAAAACACACTAAGTTACATTGTAACATTTTCTCCAGGGAGAAATATCCTCTGGTCTTTATCACCAGTGATAAAGTGATTGTTTATTAACATACAAACCTGATAAAGGAAATTCCCCAAAAATATTTCCTTGGCCTGTTAAAGAGTGCTTTCTGAAAGCTTTGCTATTCAGCCAGGCTCATCATCTACAGAAATTTTTCTTTCACATATTTCCTATGATACTGAATAAAATTTCCTCGGTTCTCATTTTATTACCACTATGTTATTAAACATTGTTTATTAATTAAAAGACCATGGTAGAAACTATGGATAAGCCAAAGTGCCAGAGCAGACTCTGAAATCATCACAATTGCTAAGTGACATTAGAAATTAGATTTAGGGTATTTATTAGAAGTGAGTGCCATGGTGCCTCTCAGAGAAGCAGAAGTAGTTCATTGGTATCCTGACCTAGGTTAAGACAGGTGGATTTGGCCACAAAAGCATGCATGGTGTGCACTGTACAGCACCTTGCTTCCTTGATTTTGCTCATAGGTGTCTCATACTGGAAATAATTTTCTCTCATTCCCCAATTCCTACCCTTTACTATATGGAGAAGAATTTAATATTCAGTTGAAATCATAACTCCTCTGACAAGGCCCCCTAATAACTTGTTCAAAGATAAAGGAAGGGCACCAGTCTGAGAATTGCTAAATATATCCCAGCTCAGTTACTAACCATTTTCAAGACACTTAATCCTTTTGGCCATAATTTCCTCACTTGAAATTATGTAGAACAATATCCTTTTCAGACATTGTATTTATGTTATCACTGCAAAATTCCTCTAGGTACAAAAGTGAAACATATACTTTAACACTTTTCAATCATTATGAAGTCACGCTCTGGTCATTGTAGGTCAAATCCCTGGATGGAGTAACTGACATTGGCAGTATCATCAGGAAGTGGAATGGTTTGTTGTCCACCATGGGTGATGCTGATCATTTTGACATTCGCTTCCCTCTGGACCTGGATGTGAAGATGAAAGCGATGATTTTTGGAGCCTGCTTCCTCATTGTAAGCCTTTTGGTATCCTGGAGAATCATACCTTCCAATGGGAAGGAGTATAGTAGAGTAAAAAGGAATAAGTTGTGAAATTTGGCCAACTGCTCCCTGTGTCCTTTATTGGGTACACATTTTGTAAAGTGTTTATCAACTGTGACCCTCAGTTTTTTTGTGAGTGAAATAGAGATAAAAATATTTACAGGTTTGAGGGTTATACATAATAGCTATCTTATGAGTAATGAGGTTGGGGGAGAAAAAGGAAGATATTAGATATCCAGTGTATGTAATTCTCATCATTTCATATTATTTATCATTCTCAACACTTAAAAACACCCAACTTATAATTATTATTGAAATAAAATAAATCTGAAGTATCCCTCTTCCTTCCTGACTCTCTATCAGTGTACCTCTCTGTGTTTTACCATTCTTACCTTTATGAAGTTTTTCTTCTTTAAATTATAAAACTTTGTTAAAAGATGGAAAACTTACTGTCTGCTAGCATTTCTAAATTTGCAAATTCTGTTCTTCACATAAAGGTCCTGTTCATATATATTTTAGTACATTTATTTTTTAACAAGAATGGGATACTCCAGTGATGAATTATGCAGAATAATACTGTATGCATTATACATAATTATTGCTCTATGTATCTGTATATCTAAACATAATTCTTTTTCCAATTGCAGGACTTCATGTATTTTGAAAGCTCTCCTGCTCCTCCACGACGTTCATCAAGATAGAGTGAGAGCAAATCATCAATGTGGCTAATAAAAATAGTAGAGAACATTGCATTAGGCTTACAGTCAACATTCAACTCTTTGCAAGTGTATTTCTCTGCTTTGTGGGGTTTTTTAAATTGAGCATTTGCTTTGAGAACCAGGCTAAAGGTGGAAGTGAAAGAACACAATCAAAACATGTCTTAATTGAGTCTCTGTCTACATGGTAGACCAGGAGTTCCTTCTGAAAATCTTTGACTGCTTAAAGCAAGTAAACATAAGACAAAATAAGCTTTAATACACTATGAACATAAGATAAGTGACTATGAATCCCAGAAGTTTCACATTAATAGGAAGTGAAATGATGGGTTGTTGTTGGCACAACCTCTCCTCTTTATCAAGAAGACAAACTTGATCCCAACTATAAAGAATGACATTCTTCATCTATAAAACAACAAGGTAAACATATTGAACTATTATTCTTTGTTGTACAAAGAAAATTTTACTTATGCACATGTACCAAAGCCTCATTCTACAAATTTATAACAGATTCAATGGAGAGTTTAATTTCATTAGAAAGTAAAACATTTTCTTTTTATCATGACTGTTATATTCTTCCATGCCTATTTCCTGCTTCCCTGGCATGAACAATCAGAAGTTATCTATCTAGAAAGACAGGGTCAGATATCAGGAAAAGAGCTGACCAGGTTCATGCCCAGTCAAGATCTCAGCATCTTAGGAATACCAGTTTCTGTATAGAAACTTTGTGTCTACTACATTCACACACAGCACACACATCTAGTACACAGCCTCTCCTGGTCACAGGTGCTTTACATATGAAATATTTTTGGCCAAGTCTGTAGGATTGCCTAAGGGATCTTATTATTTCATTTGATGGCATAGAAATGAGAGAACTGTTTCTTTCAAGATCTCTGGTGATCACTAGGCTATGCTAATGGCAAGAAATGGAGCTGTGTTTTTAAATTTTGAAACATGGCATTTTGTGTAGAGGTTTATAAAAGCAAAAGCTACCAATTTTGGCACTTCTTAATAATGCTTTGCTGCTTTTCACTTATATTTTCAAAAAGCTTTACACCAAGAAAATAATAAAACACAGCAAACATGCTACTTCTCTGTGGTCTACAGCTTATCAATGAGGACCAACAGAGCTAAAGCATCAAATGTACTTTTGTGTATTACTAATAAAAAGCATAGTGTTTAAGTGCACATCCCCTGGTTAGCTTTTCTCTTTTACACTTTAGCTTCCTACATGGACATAGACTGTGTTATTTGAACACAGCCAGTAAATAGAATGGCATGTATTCTTCTACAGCTTATTAAATAAGTAAAACTTAAGTGAGAAGACATAGTCCACACTTCTTTTTGAAGTGAAAGAAAGGTGCTTCATTTTAAAATTATACTAACTTTTTTATGGTAAGAACAAACACAGAAATAAACTCTCACCTCTGGATGACCTTAAGGCTCTGTTCAAGAAAGGAAAGGAAGCTATGTGAGTTTTGTAAACCACCTGCTGGGTCATGTAGAGTAGGCCTCTACATGAACAGAACCCCTTCGCAGTGGCTGGGAGAGAGATGGATGCAGGATCATTAAGGAAAGTTCTTTCCAACCATGGCATAGTCACTATGGTAACTTAGGAAGTTAATGTCAGTGGTCACACATATGAAAGACTACAGACGCTATATAATTAACTGAACAAATTCAATAAACAACAAGAAAAATGAACAGGTAGAGCCAAGTATAATTTCAAGTTTTGTCATATTGTTAAAATATCAAGGTTATCAACATATTATGAAGCCTGTGAAGACAGGAGAATATGACCCATACACAGTAATAAAAGCACTAGATAGAACTGTCATATAAAATGCAGGCAATGAATTTAACTAAGTCTTAAAATCAGTTATAAATATTTTTAAAGAACTAAAAGAAAGTTAAGGTGAATACGGTTGATGTACTTTCTATATAAGAAGGAATATAGAAATTTTAAACCTCTTTAAATGACCATAAGAAGCTGTTTAAGGTAGAAAGGAGAAAAATAGAGGGGATGAAACAATTTGGTTATAATACATATATAAGTGGAAATGTCACAATGAAACTCCCTGTATAGCTATCTTATACAAACAAAAATGTCTTTTTGCAAAAATAGAGAACAGAAAGGTAAAACAGGTCTTAGATGGAGATTGGCACCAGTGACAGCAGGGAGGATAGAGGGAAAGTGTGGTGGAGGGTGAATATGGTGGAATATTATGTACTCATGTGTGAAACTGGAAAAATGAGACCTGTTGAAACTGTTCCAGGAACTGGGAAGGGAGGGATAAAGGAGAATGATGGAGGGGGTGAATTCAACTATGATATATTGTAAGAATTTTTGCAAATGCCACAATACATTCCAGTAAAACAATAATAATAAATGATAAGAAAAAAGTCAAAAACAACTTGAGGAGACCAAAAGAAGACTAAAAAATAAGCTTCTCTTGAAATGAAGTATGAGAATGATGTCTCATCAAAAAAGAGAATATGTACATAAATAAATAAAAGTGTACTGTGAATGTCTTAATTTGTGGTTATTGTTTCTCTTATATGATTGAAAACACAAGTGCCATGCATAGAGCAAGAAGTCTATACAGATCTTCATACAATATGAAAAGATATAATTTGTATGATAACTGATCTGAGCAGCAACTGTAAATATACTATGTTTACAATATATTGCTGGGTCTATAACATAGAAAAGTAACGTTTGGCAATAACAGCCCAAAAACAGTGGGTTTGAGCAAAGTTTTATTGGGGCAAAGAAGAAACTCCAGATGGTAAAGAAATCATAAGAATAAATAATGAGAATCAGAAGTTGATCATTGTAGATATGATCTGCCTATTTATTGGTGACCTTTTATTTAGCAAACTAGCCAGACACCTACCCTTGCTGCCAGGAACCTAAGGTTATCTTTCAGGGTTGTGGAAGTTCAGTGTTCTTGGGTCTATACATACACACATATAAATATATACAGAACATGTTTCTGAAAGTGGAACTTTTAAAGAAGACTAAGAAAGGAAGAAAAGAATGATAGCAAAAATGACATACATCACATCTGTATCAGAACAAGACACAACAAAACACACTGAAAACTATTGAACAAAACCAGGTAAGTGGGAGAGGGAGAGAAAGAATAGTGGAGGGGGTTATACTGACTTCAGCACAGTATATTTACAAGTAAAATACCAAGGCAAAAATCCCCCATCGAACTATGAACAGACACAAACAATGAAGGACAGAAATATAGAACAGGTCATGTTAAGGGGAGGGTATTAGCAGGGAGGGGAAAAGGCAAATGAAGAGGGTAGAGGAGGATGAACATAGTCGATGTATTCTTAATACATGCATGAATATGGAACATTGAACCTAACTGAAGTTATTTTAAGAAGGGGAATGTGGTAGGAAGGAGAATAATGGAGAGGGATGAGCTAAACCAAGGTATAATAAGTATATATAAAAATTTCACAATGAAACCCCTGTATAGCAATCATATATGAATAAAAATGTTTTATAAAAAAGAGAAAAGCAGAAATAATCATAAGCAAATACTAAAGGAATGAACAACTGTTAATCCAACAATGTAGAAGATACTAATGTGTCCAACACAGAGAAGAGAGCAGCAACACAGAAGAACACAATCTTGATAATAAAGGAACAAATAAAACTCATTAAAGGAGTAGAAAAGTAAATGAGGAAAGAATCAAACACTACAGAAACAAAAAAATGATAGGAATCACTGCATACATTTCAATAATAACTCTGAATGTTTATGGTCTCAATTCTCCAATCACATGATACAGCCTGGCAGAATGGATTAAAAAAAGGAAGACTGAACCACCTGGTGTCTAAAAGAAGCACCTAGCTGACAAGGACTGCACAGCTGTACAGTGAAACAATGGAAAAAGATATGGCAGACAAATGGAGCCCCAAATCAAACAGGAGTATCTATATTCAGATCTAACAGAGCAGAATTCAAGCCAAAATAGAAGGAACACAGAAGAACACTTCATATTAATAAGAGGATCAATTCACGAGGATTTAAAAATTGTAAGCATATAAACACCAAGCATCAATGCACCCAATTTCTTAAAAAAAAAAAAAACCTACAATCCTAATGAGTTTAATGTTTACCAATAGATAGGCAATCCAGACCCGCTCCCTCCCAAAAAAAAGGAAGCATCAGAATTAAATGATACTATAGATCAAATGGACTTATCAGACCACTCAGGAATATTCCACCCCAAGGTCACAGAATTCATATTCTTCTCACCAGCCCATTGAACTTTCTCTAAAATATATCATATTTCAGAATATGAAGGAAGTCTTAACAAACACAAGAAAAATTTTAAAAACTTCCTGCATTTTATCAGACCACAATGGAATAAAACTAGAAATACAGTGCAAGAGAACCTTAGAACATTTTCAAATACATGGAGACTTGAGCAACACACTTATGGATTATCAAGGAAATTAGGAGGGAAATAAAAATATTCCTAGACTAAAATTAAGATGAAAACACAGCCATTCAGGAGACAGCAGAGACAGCACCAAGCATAAATTCTGTATCTGTTAGCATCTATGTTAAATAAATCAAACATATCTCAAATAACCTAATGATGCACCTACAGCTGTTAGAAAAATAAGAAGAAGCTAAACTCAAAAGTGGTAGATGAAAAGAAGTAATAAAGATCTGGGCAGAAATTAAGGAAACAGGCACTAAATGAATGATATAAAGACTCAATGAAGAAAAGAGTATTTTCTTTAAAATGATAAGCTAACTGATAAACTAAGCTAAACTAACCAAAAAGAAGCTAGGAGAACACCAAAATTCACAAAATTAGAGATAAGGACAGGACTATCACAAAAAGACAGCAACGAGCTTCAGAGGATCATTAAGAAGTACTTTGAAAACTTATATTCCAATATCGTGAAACATCTAAAAGAAATGGATAAATTCATCTATGCACGTGATCTGCCAAAACTGAATGGAGTATAGACAAACTACTTAAACAGAGCTATTATGAGCAATAAAATTGAAGTAGTTACACAAATATCCATTTATGCTTTTTTTCTGCAAATAACACATTTTGTTCTTTATGGCTGAAAAATAACCCACTGTGTACATAAGACACACTTAATCCTTTCATTTGTCTGTGGACATCAAGACAGATTCCAGACCTTGGATATTGTGACTAAAGCATCCATAAATGTGGGTGAATAGGAATCTCTACTGTGTGCTGACTTTGATTGTTCTGGGTATAGACCCAGGAGTGGTGCAGCAGGATCACATGGTAATAAAAATTTTAGTTTGTTTTGGAAACTCCATACCGATTTCCATAGTGGCTGAACTAACTTACGTTTTCACCAACAGTATGTAAAGGTTCTTTTTGCCGCACATCGTTACCATCAGTTGTTATTTGTTTTCTTTATGATAGCCATTTTGACTGGTTGAGGTGAAATCATAGTGTAGTTTTGATTTTTATATTGAAACTTTTTTGTGTATAT